GACTTGCTGTAGGAAGGAGGACTTTTGTTTTGACAGCTGAGCACCTGAAAAAAGGAAGGCCTACTTGAGTAGATACAAGCAAGCTTGGAGGAAACATAGCAGCTCATAATGTGAGAGCACATGCTATGATTAAAACTATTCTTCTGGAGGATTACCTGTTTTAATTCTGTTTCCAGACTATTTTTCTCTTGTCTGTTGATACTCGAGAAGATTTGGGGATTTTGTTATTTTTAAGCTATTGGCTTTGCATTTCATGTGTTTTTTTTTTGGACTATATTTTTTGTTGTGATATATATTTTTTCCATTTTTCACTGGTGTTTCAGTACTAATCTTTATGGACAATCATTTTCACCATTATTGGAGTACTTGTTTCAGTGAAGGGGTGAACCCTTGTTTCTGGTCTGAGCATTCAGTTAATTGTTGTTGTTTACTTTGTCTTGAGGAAAAACCAACAGTGAATCCTATAGCAGTTGAAAACTATAGACCAGTCAGTCTCCTTCCTTTTCTGTCAAAAAAAAAAAACTTTGAAAGCATTCTTCAGTCACCTTTGCTTTTCTCTTGCACAATCTACTTGACAGCTAGTTGCTGAAACTCTTCACCTGAAACTCCAGATCACTCATCCCGATCCTACTGGACCTGTCTGTTACTTTTGACACTATAAACCACCAGATCCTCCTCTCCACCCTTTCTGACTTGGGCATCACAGGTATGGTACTTCGGTGGCTTCAATCTCACCCAATAGACAGATCTTTAAAGGTGTTCTGGAGAAGACTGGTGTCACATCAGCTATTCACTGGGGTGCCTCAAAGTTCAGTGTTTGCTCCTTTACTTTTCTCCATATAAACATCCTCACTGGGCATTATGATAAATGCACACAGCTTCTCTTACCATTACCATGTATTTGACAAGTTCTAGCTGTCGTTTCAATCATATAATCCCACTGTGTCAGCTTGTATCTCTTCCTGCCTTTATGACTCATCTTTGATGAAGAAACGTCACCTCCAGCTCATCCTTGCAAAGATGGAGCTCCTTGTAATCCCTGCCAATCTGTCAATTGACCACAACATTACTGTTCACTTTGGATCAACAACATCCAATCTCTCCTATCATTTCAAGACTGAACTACTGCAATCCTCAGCTGGCTGGCCTTCCAGTCAGTGCAATGAAGCCTTTATGGTACTCAGACTCTCTTGTAATAATTCTTGGGGATTTTAATGAAGCAAATCTCTCCGGTGAACTGCCAAAATACTTAGATACAATGATACACACACACACATCACTCTGTCCCAAGTTCAGCTTATCTGATCACTGTCTAGATCACCTTACACCGACCTACAGGCAGAAACTGAAATCAGCTAAACCCATAATAAGGACTGTAAAAAGATGGACTAAGCAGAGTGGGATATACAAGCCTGCTTTGACTGCACTGACTGGAGTGTTTTCGAAGCTGCTGCCACTGATCTGGATGAGCTCACAGATTCTGTAACATTGTATATCAGTTTCTGTGAAGATATGTTTTCTCTTGTCTGTTGATACTCGAGAAGATTTGGGGATTTTGTTATTTTTAAGCTATTGGCTTTGCATTTCATGTGTTTTTTTTTTGGACTATATTTTTTGTTGTGATATATATTTTTTCCATTTTTCACTGGTGTTTCAGTACTAATCTTTATGGACAATCATTTTCACCATTATTGGAGTACTTGTTTCAGTGAAGGGGTGAACCCTTGTTTCTGGTCTGAGCATTCAGTTAATTGTTGTTGTTTACTTTGTCTTGAGGAAAAACCAACAGTGAATCCTATAGCAGTTGAAAACTATAGACCAGTCAGTCTCCTTCCTTTTCTGTCAAAAAAAAAAAACTTTGAAAGCATTCTTCAGTCACCTTTGCTTTTCTCTTGCACAATCTACTTGACAGCTAGTTGCTGAAACTCTTCACCTGAAACTCCAGATCACTCATCCCGATCCTACTGGACCTGTCTGTTACTTTTGACACTATAAACCACCAGATCCTCCTCTCCACCCTTTCTGACTTGGGCATCACAGGTATGGTACTTCGGTGGCTTCAATCTCACCCAATAGACAGATCTTTAAAGGTGTTCTGGAGAAGACTGGTGTCACATCAGCTATTCACTGGGGTGCCTCAAAGTTCAGTGTTTGCTCCTTTACTTTTCTCCATATAAACATCCTCACTGGGCATTATGATAAATGCACACAGCTTCTCTTACCATTACCATGTATTTGACAAGTTCTAGCTGTCGTTTCAATCATATAATCCCACTGTGTCAGCTTGTATCTCTTCCTGCCTTTATGACTCATCTTTGATGAAGAAACGTCACCTCCAGCTCATCCTTGCAAAGATGGAGCTCCTTGTAATCCCTGCCAATCTGTCAGTTGACCACAACATTACTGTTCACTTTGGATCAACAACATCCAATCTCTCCTATCATTTCAAGACTGAACTACTGCAATCCTCAGCTGGCTGGCCTTCCAGTCAGTGCAATGAAGCCTTTATGGTACTCAGACTCTCTTGTAATAATTCTTGGGGATTTTAATGAAGCAAATCTCTCCGGTGAACTGCCAAAATACTTAGATACAATGATACACACACACACATCACTCTGTCCCAAGTTCAGCTTATCTGATCACTGTCTAGATCACCTTACACCGACCTACAGGCAGAAACTGAAATCAGCTAAACCCATAATAAGGACTGTAAAAAGATGGACTAAGCAGAGTGGGATATACAAGCCTGCTTTGACTGCACTGACTGGAGTGTTTTCGAAGCTGCTGCCACTGATCTGGATGAGCTCACAGATTCTGTAACATTGTATATCAGTTTCTGTGAAGATATGTGCATTCCTACCACGAGACCTGTTAATCGTGCCATGGATTAAGTCTTTCTTTCTGATTGTGAAGTTCCTGCTTATCTCCCAGGTGAAAAAAAAAAAGAATACTTCCATAATGTAATTAAAGTGCTCTATTTTCGCACACTAATTTTGTACTTAATATACTAAAAATGATTCTTTGATCATCTAAGATTCTAATTTATTGAGATGCACCTGTAAGTGTACTCAGTTGTGCTATTTTGAGACACCATGAATATGAACTAAAATGCATTTTTAACATACTATCTCTGTATTTAAAAAAATGTATTTAGTCACCACTTGTAGAACACTTGATTGTACTAGTGTATGAAAGATGGGTTCAAGTGTACTACAAGTGGTAACTACATTTTTTAAATGCAGAGATAGTATGTTAAAAGCGCATTTTAGTTCATATTCATGGTGTTTCAGTTAAGTACACTTAGATGATCTTAAGTTTATCTTAAGAAGTACTAAAAAATAATTTTTAGTATATTAAGAACAAAATTAGTGCGCGAAAATAGAGCACTTTAACTACATTATGGAAGTATACTTTTTTTCACCTGGGCTGAGCTGTAGATCCTGAACTGAGAGAGTAAAGAGTGTCATTGTTCTCTACAGGTTATGTAATTGTGGAGTCACAGATGAAGGTTGTGCTGCTCTGAGATCAAACCCTTCACACCTGAGGGAACTGAATCTGTCTGAGAATAAACTAAGAGATTCAGCTGTGAAGCTGCTCTCTGATCTGAAGGATGATCCACATTATGGACTACAGACGCTTCTGTGAGTAGTGATGACTAAAAATGTCCATATATTGTAATTGCAATTTAATTTTTCTTTTATATATTAAAACATAGTATTATTCCGTTTATAGTAATTTGATTAATGTTTGAGTATATGAATGATATTTTGAATGTTGTGATATTTTCTGGTCTTCCAGTGTATCAATATTTGTGTTAAACAGAGACCCTCTGGGACATTTATTGTTAAATTCACAAAGAAATACCATCTTAATGTTTTTTTTTTTTAAGCAGGAACATTATTATTTTTCTACATCTGTCCATTACAATATGTATCACAAATTTTTTAAGAGTCAAAGGATAAAATTCATCATCCATGGCGTTTTGGATTTGACATTATAAACTGGATGATTAAATGGGGATTTTTGACACCATTTATCACAGGATTATATTATCATATTAATAGAGCAAAGTTTGTTTTAATTGTTCTAGAGTGGATAGTGCAGTAATGTCACATGCATTTGACTGTCTGTTTTACTTTCAGGTTTTAGATATTAGTCTGATCTTCTCTGGATCAAACATCACATTCAACAGAATCAACAAACACAAACCCATAGTGATCATCACACACAGATGTGTTTGTGGAACTTTCCATGATCCAATACTTGATCCAAAGGCAAACAAAGAAACCTTTTGTTTCTTTTTCAGAACTGACATTTGTACTGGTGCGCCCCATTTTACATAATAACAAAGCTTTTACAAGCTGATTGTGACGATCAGTGTATCTTCTGTTCAGTTTTTATAACAAAAGATTTCAACCCAACATGTGCCTAACATTGGGTTAAAGTCCGGGACTTTATTCCTGATTAACTGACTTGATAAGCTTGAAAAAAAAAACCGGTCATTTCATGCAGGTAATTTCTGGATGTCTGTAATCTGATCCAATATGGAAGTGCCGCTGTAGTTGTTTGTCTCCAGTGCCAGAAGCTTCTGTATGTAGTTTTGAGGCAAGCCGTTCTGTTGAGCCCCTAAACACACAACCTATAGATGAAGAATGAGACGAGATAAACATTCAAATGAAAAAGAGACTCTTCACTGACACTTATCATGATAGCTATGCAGTTAGACTGTCAGAGAGGTCTTATGATAATCTTGTACATAAGGTTAAAAATACAACTATATTGAAAACAGCTGAAAGTAACACTTTAAAAGTTTTAAAGTGTAACTTTCAGCTGTTTTCAATATAGTTGTATTTTAAATTAAAACACATGCTAATACTTGATCAGGTGAACTGTCCACTTTGTGATCTGTAATGAAATGTTATGCTTTGGTTTGGTCAGTCAGGCTAATGATGGACAGTAAAGTGTACCTTTTTATACTGTGGTGAAGGGGAACACGGTCATTTCATGCAGGTAATTTCTGGATGTCTGTAATCTGATCCAATATGGAAGTGCCGCTGTAGTTGTTTGTCTCCAGTGCCAGAAGCTTCTGTATGTAGTTTTGAGGCAAGCCGTTCTGTTGAGCCCCTAAACACACAACCTATAGATGAAGAATGAGACGAGATAAACATTCAAATGAAAAAGAGACTCTTCACTGACACTTATCATGATAGCTATGCAGTTAGACTGTCAGAGAGGTCTTATGATAATCTTGTACATAAGGTTAAAAATACAACTATATTGAAAACAGCTGAAAGTTACACTTTAAAAGTTTTAAAGTGTAACTTTCAGCTGTTTTCAATATAGTTGTATTTTAAATTAAAGCACATGCTAATATTTGATCAGGTGAACTGTCCACTTTGTGATCTGTAATGAAATGTTATGCTTTGGTTTGGTCAGTCAGGCTAATGATGGACAGTAAAGTGTACCTTTTTATACTGTGGTGAAGGGGAACAGGGTCTGAAGTTGTTCATCTTATACGTCCGGCAGAGAAGTGGCTTTTCCTTTGTTTCCACTTTGACCTCTAATGGGCTGTACACACCTTCATGAACCTGTTCCTGTCTGAATCACATGCAAGATACAGAAAACATGCCTAAATACATACATTTAATTCTTGAGTAGAACATTTTCAACATATGGAAGCTTTACAGGGTGCAATAAGGATGCACAATCTAGTGGCTGCTATCTGACTAAGCTGATGATGAAAGCCTGTTATAGTTTTTTTTAACCTATATACTATTTTGTCAAAGACAAAAGTACTAAAAACCAGCATACTACAACTTCTACTTGCAAATAAATGGACATGAAATACCGATATGAGATGTATGCTTTACTGTGTGAAAAGAAATATCAATATCCCATACAATACTGATCATGAGTACAAGATGAAAGTGTGATTTTGGGAGAGATCACAATCCCAGGTGATCTCACCTGTCTAAACTGGGCAGGTTTTGGCTGTCTATCCTCCACACGACTCCCCAGACCTCGTCTCCTTCACTCTCCTGTATTGTGGCCACTCCACCGTGCCAAGCGCAGTCAGTGCAGTCGCCCGAAAGACCGAAATTCAGCCTGTAGTCCTGAAATACAGTAAATCTCTTACAAGACAGTCATGCTTTGATATATACAATGATACTTTATAGAGTACTATAGTACATGTCCATGAACATCCTTTTGTATGATGCTTTTTAAAAAATATATAAAAAAAATTTTTACTAAAAAAAATTTTTTTTTAAATTCCCACTTTCTAAAATTTTTAAAAATTACAAAATAAAAGATTTTATATATATATATAATGTGAAGATTTTTACATTCAAATAAGTAAACAAATGAGTTAATAATTCATATATCTAACCATACAGTTCTATAATTAGAGGGGGGAAATGTAATAATAAACTATTTGTTTTCCAAGTAATATTGGGTCCGTTGCATCTTGAAAACCACCAAGGTAACGTTAACATTGTTTCAAAATACAATTTCCTTACAAATCCTTCCTGTTGTTTTTATAGTGTTATTTGTGATTACAGCGATGGTTAATTTCAACCATTATAAATCTAATGTAACGTTAGACAATACTTTCAATGTCTATTTTTTGTCATTCTATGTACGTATCTCCATTCAGTAAGTGCTTAATATGGTAATCAATCAAATAATGTGTTTGTTTACCTGTATCCTGCCGACGCAGTGAAACACAGCTGATGGGTTTTTCAGCTGAAGTCTCTCTTTCAGTAAATTACTGCCAAAAGCAAAGTACATGAAAAACCCGCTGGATGACATTTTACTAAAGCTGTGCCCTAAGCAACGTGAAGAGAAGATACGCATACGCGTTTTAAAAAACAAATCCTGAGGGCTTTTATAACCTTTGAAAGCTCCAGTTCGTTCCCTGCGCTCTGTTTGGCTAAAGACCGCTAGCTAAAAGTGTCCGATTCGCTAAGAAATCGTTCTCGTGAGTCGACTCTTTAGAATGATTCACAACCGGAGTAACTTTTACAAGGAGGGGGCCTGTGAGTTGGGTTAGGATTTTAATAATAATAATAAAAAATAATAATTTAATTGATGTTGATTATGATGTCAGCTACATACGGTATTTTAAATAACTTGCAGAAAGATCACTGCCTTATGATTAGTACAAACAGTTCAGGACTCCAACAAAAGACTCAAAACAGTTTTCAAAAGAAATGAATTTAACGTACAAAATTCAAACAAATGAAAATCTAAATATTTTCTAAATGAAAAAAAATAAAAATAAAAAAATTCTGTACCAAGCGCACAGATGTACAGTGGCTTGAGACGTTCATCTCCTCGGCCCGCCGCGGCCACGTCCTCTTCCTCTGCCACGACCCCGTCCTCTTCCTCGCCCACGGGCTGCCACTGCAAGACAGAGATGGAAACAAATTAACATTTTCATAATCAATCAATCAATCTGTGTTTCAATGAAAGCTTATAAAATATAATTTTTAAAGAATTTGACAAAAGATGACATACTTTTAATAAAGTTAGAGGAGTCAAATATCAGCTCGTAATGGGAAGGCTACTTTTTGATAAAATTTTGGATAATTGTTTAGAAGGTGATCCTAAAATTTTGAACGTGCTCCTAAATTTTTTAAGTTAGGAAAAAGAAAAGTAGGCATAGAGCCTTGAATGTCATGTTCAGTTTAGAAAGTTTTTTTCCAGCACTCACCAGCCTCTCTCTTCTTTGACTTGACTTTGGGCTCGATGTCGACCAGCAGCGTGTCCAGAGGAAGACTGTCGGGCAGGATGAAGTAGCGGATGTTGTTGCCACGGATACTGAGAGACTCCAGCTGAGTGGGTTCTCTGTTTTTGAGGGTCATCTTCACAGCTTTGAGGTGAGTGTTCATACTGACATCCACACCTGTGTACAGGATTCAAAGAGAAAACATACTCTTAAATGTAAACTTGAAGCAGATACTTTGACTTTAGCATTGAAGGTTATTATATTATATAACAATTACCTGTAATGGTGCCATGGACCTGTGTGCCATTCTTCAGCTCAATAGTGACTGTTTCATGGCTCAGTTTCATCAAAAACCTGCAGCATCACAATCAAAAACAATGACTGAATATATAAATATAAATTACATATAAAATATATATACACGTGCGTTTTGCAGATTGTATTTGTAGTAGTAACAAGCAAACAGAAAGTTACTAGCATTAAAAGTGATTGTTTCGGTTGCTGCGTTTGTTAAGATTTAAGGCCCGGCATCTACAAACTAATGTGTCAAATGCATAATTTCATAAACCTAAGACTAAAACACACGAACTACATGTTTTAAAAACACAAATGCGTTTAAAACAAGGCAGTAATGAGAGAAAACACCCAAACAAACACGTTCGGATTCATTCATTCATTCCCGCCTGCTGTATCTAACAGCTAACAAACAGCTACATAGAATCTAACTCCATCCGTCAAACTACATCACATGTCGCTGCGCGTAATTAGTGTATATTAATAATGTAATACATATAGATGTATATTACCTGACGAGTTTCATGCTGGCGGTGGATTTTAAGGGTAAATCCTCCACCGAAATGAGAAAAAATTGTAGCGCAAAACGACATAAAAGCGTCGGACGCTACTGCAGCTATGAGCGGGATCACTTCCGGCGCGAAACGGAAGCAGAATCCGTGAATACTTTTTTTAAATTTTTTTTTATTCAAGGAACGATAACACACAATAAAACAACATTAAAATACGAAAAGAAAAAGATAGAAGGACAAATTACAACAAACAAAAAACAGTGACAAGGGGGAGGAAAGTATAAAACTTCAAAACAAAAATACAAGATATACATACATACACACACACACATACACTTGTACGTATATATAAAATCAAATAAATATATTGTAAAGTTCACAAACTTTCAAAGTTCTTACAGCTTTATTATTCACAGAGTCTCTGATACTGTCAATATATATAAATATTTCAGTCAACAAAACCATAAAATTGGGTTGAATCCGTGAATACGCAAGGGGTGCTGCCACTAGACACAAAAATCACCAGAATATTTTCAAACAGTAGTAGAAGTAATTTATAAAATATAAAATTAATGTCTGTTTAATATTAAATAATCGTTCACGTGAACAAAAATGAGGTTAGGATTGTGTTTATTATATTTTGATTATGATAATACGTTTAAAAGTCTTTATATCCGCGGCTAGATTACAGATGTCCAAAGCCGTGTCACAATAAATAGATTTTAACAGTTTTACAGTGCTTGCCGTTGTTTTTATTTGGCCAAAACAGCGACACTAGTTGATATTTAAAACGTTGAATTGAACAAATCTGGCAACCATAAGCTGGATGCCAACCGCCGTTAAACGTACTTGTTACTTATTACTTTTTTCACTTCTGTTTCAGTTTTTATAAGCATTTCTTACTATGTGTAAGTAAGTTGTTGTTTTTTAGCATGCGTGTTTGGCTCAGTGTTATTTTTTAAGATTACTGATAAACTACTGTCGTTTGATTTGTATAATTTGTATTTGTTATTTATTTTAATTTTAGTTACATTATGTCTGAATTTATTATGTCTGTATAGGTATTTTATTAAGTTTT